CAGCAGGAAGGCCGTCACAGAATGCCAGAACCTTCTTTTTGCATTTCCAAGCCCCCTGAACTGTGGAAAAATATACTTTGGTTCTTCATAAATTACTCCGTGATATTTCATGATAGCAGCAAAAATGGACTAAGATACCCTTCATTTATGGTTAATTGATTTTATTTATTTATTTGTGTATGTATGTATATATTTATTTATTTAGAGATGGAGTCTTGCTCTGTTGCCAGGCTGGAGTACAGTGGCGCGATATTGGCTCACTGCAACCTCTGTCTCCCTAGTTCAAGTGATTCTCCTACCTCAGCCTCCCAAGTAGCTGGGACTACAGGCATGTGCCACTATGTCTATCTAATTTTTGTATTTTTAGTAGAGACAGGGTTTCACCATGTTGGCCAGAATGGTCCCAATCTCCTGTCCTTGTGATCCGTCTTGCCTTGGCCTCCCAAAGTGCTGGGATTACAGGTGTGAGCCACTTCACCTGGCCAATTGATTTTTATTAAATAGGCCAGAATAATGTAGGGGGAAGTGGTTTTTCAGCAAGGTGTTTGGAACATTGGATATTGCCCTGCAGAAAAATGAACTGAGGACCTTGTCTCACATTATGCATTAATATTTACTCATGGTGAAATCGCGAGGATAAATGTATAAAATTAGCAGCCAATAGCTTTGTGACTGAGTGTTAGTAAATAGCTTTGTGATTGAGGGGTGGTAAGAAGGTGTGTGAGTGTGAGTGTGTGTGTGTGTGTGTGTGTGTGTGTAGGTAGGTAGGTAGTTTAAGAGACAGGGTCTTACTATGTCACCCAGGTTTGTCTCTAACTCCTGGCCTCAAGTGATCCTCTCACCTCAGCCTCCCAAAGTGCTGGGATTTGAGGTATAAGTCACCATGCTTAGCTTCCCCTACCCCCACCATTAAAAAAAATAATAAAATAAACAAGCTGCTTATGGTGGCTCATGCCTGTAATCCCAGAACTTTTGGAGGTCGCGGAGGGTAGATCACCTCAGGTCGGGAGTTTTAGACTGGCCTGACCAACATGGAGAAACCCTGT